GTTATTCTTTGTATTCTCTTCCCTAGGATAAAAATTAAGGGTGGTGACTCTATATTTTAAACTGGTTATTACATAATTCTTTGGGTACAAAGTTGTGTTTGAGTTATGCTTATCATCCGCAAACAGATAGTCAGATTGAGAGAACGATTCAGTCACTTAAGGAAATTTTGAGAGCTTGTGTTTTGGAACAAGAAGGTATTTGGGATAGTTATTTGCCTTTGATTGAGTTTACTTATAACAACGGTTTCCATTGGAGTATTGGAATGACACTGTTTGAGGCTTTTTATGGTAGAAGGTGTAGGACGTCTTTGTGTTGGTATGAATCGGGAGAGAGTGTTATAGTTGGACATGAGATGGTTTAACAGACTACAAATAAGATAAAGATGATTCAGGATAAGATGAAGGCTTCTCAGAGTCGTCCGAAGAATTATCATGATAAGAGTAGGAAATCCCTTGAGTTTGAGAAGGGATATCATGTGTTTCTTCGAATTACTCTGGTATTGGGTGTTGGTCGAGCTTTGATGTCGTGTAAGTTGACGCCGCTTTTTATTGTTCCTTATCAGATTTACAAGAAAGTAGGTGAAGTGGCTTATCATATTTCTTTTCCACCATTTCTTTCTAATATTCATGATGTGTTTCATGTGTCTCAGTTAAGGATATACATTACAGATCCATCTCATGTTGTCCAATTAAAAGATGTTCAAGTGATAGATAACTTGACTATGGAAACATCACCTATGCGGATAGAGGATCGAGAGTTGAAACAACTTTGTGGTAAATATATTTCCTTGGTGAAGGTAGCTTAGGGAGGACCAGCAGGTGGAAATGTAACTTGGGAACTCGAGAGTCAGATGAGGGAGTCTTATTCGGATTTGTTTGTTTGAGGTAATTTTCAAGGACGGAAATCTTTCAAGTGGGGGAGACTTGTAACACCCTAATTTTTATTTATTAATTATTTTATTATTTGTTTTCCATATTAATCATTATTTGGTTTGATAATTCTTTAATTATTTGATTTTGTGTGATTATGTGAATAGTTGATTTAATTGAAATATATGCGTGTATTATATGTATTGGGTTAGTAAGTGTGAGAATAGAAATATTATTTAATTGGGCCTTGGTGATGGTTTAGTGTGAGAGTGGGTTAAGCCCAATTAATGAAACAATAGTTACTAAGGGTTGTTATAAAACAAAGAGAAATAGAATTAGAAAGAAAGAAACAAGAGAAAAAAAGAGAAGAGAAGAGGAGAAAAGAGGAATAAAGAAGGAAGAACCTTAGAGTATCTACATATAAGGTAAGTGTGGGTATCCTTTGATTTATGGGTGTATGTAATGGTATGTGATGGGTAGTAACATGAAAATAGAGATTTTTTCTTCAATTTCTAGATTTTGACATGTTAGGGTTTGAATGTAGAATCATGAAATTGATGTTGGAAATCATATTTTGATGTTTGTAGTTATATGTTAGATATAGGTTATAATACACTTAATTAGTTAAAATGGGTGTTGGAATGGATTTTGGTTTATAAACTCGTAATAAGACAGAACTGTCTGTAAGCATATTTTCTGGTTTTTCGTGAGGCTGCTTAGCGCCCTAGGCGCCGCTTAGCGCGGGATGGAATGTGAAAATAATCATTTTCTGAAATCATTCTGGATTATGGATGCTTATGATTTATCATTGATTTACATGAATTTTAATAATATATTCGATGTGTTTTTGATTGGTTTTGGATGACTTTTGATGACAAAAGATTACTTGATTTTGTGTATGTAATTGTTGGGAATTGATGTTGATTGAACATAACATGGTTTGGACTTGTTTTCTACATGTTATAATGATGTTTTGAGATAATTAATGCTATGAGGAGACATTGTGTGTGATTGATGACATGATTGATGTATGTTGTGAAATTTGGTGAAGATAACTCAAATGTGTTGAATTATGTGAAATATGCTTGTATGATTAAGATATGGTGATAATCTTAATTGCATATTTATGTTGAGATTTCACATGAATCATTTGTGTTAAGAGGAAATGTTTGGTAATTTCGTGGGAATTAATGACTTGTCTCAAACCTAACGCTGAGGGATTTGAAAGCTTAAGGCCGAGTCAAGCTTTTATTGCTGGTTATCTGTCTTGGAGATGTGGACCCGGCAGGACCGATAAGGATAACATTTGGTACCACATGCATATTGCATCATTGAGTTTCATTTGAGTCACATGTGTCGATTTGAAATGTTATGTTGGTGTGCTATATGTAATATTGGTGGGAATGCTACTTTGTGGTAATTGTGATTTCTTATCTTTGAATCTTGAATCGTTGAGCCATGTTGTATATGAAATCATATAAATTATGTTGAAATATGTTGAATACATGATTATGTGAAGTGTGATGAGTTCATTTGATATATTTTTGTAGTACATTACTTATTATTATATATTTCCATAATGATATGAATTCTCACTCTTCTGTTGGAATGATGTTTTTATATGATATCGCTCAGGTACCGACAATAGCGATGCTTCTTGCAAGGAGTAGTTGGAGGATCTAGTCCTTTATTTATTCATTTTATTAGGTAGAGAGTCATGTTATGGTCTATGTAACACGGGGAACATTTGGATTCATGTTTTTTTGATTATATTCATGTTTATTTGAGAGATGTTATTATACTCTTTGGATATTTATGTTGTATTGAGATTGTATGTGGTAATGCCTTTAGTGCCTAATATTTTATGATATGATTGTCACTATGGGATTTAAATTATAAGTATTATTATTGAGTTGAGAATTAATCCTCTGCGAGATGCATATATGTTATTGTATGGAACATGATTCTAAATGCGTGTTATTAACATGACCAGTATATTTGTATTTCTTGAGTTTCGTGAAGTAAACGTGACGCCCTTATTGATATGCATGTTAATTTACTATGATTATGCTATTCATTTTATGCGGGGTATAGAGGGTGTTACATCCATCAATGAAAGGGATGAAAAGAAGAACAAAGTTATAGCTTTGTCTCCAACTCTGGGAAATTAGGAATTCAAGTTGACAAAGAAGAGAGCTTGGTATATGATATAGATCTTCTTAGGAGAAAGGTCAATAAATTCTTGAAGAATCTGGACAGAAAGTGGAGAAAACATTTCCAAGACATGAGGTCAAACATTAGTCCTTAGAGAACATACAAGAATGAAGATAAAACCAATAGGGGAAAAGGTACTCAGTTCCTTAAGTGTGAAGGTATTGAACACCTCAAATCATAATGTCCTACATTCTTGAAGAAACAAAAAAGGGTATTATCCATCACTTGGTCTGATTCTGAAAATGAAAGTGAGATAGAAACAACCAACAAGGTGAAAGCTTACTCTAGAAAATATGGAACTGAAAGTGAATCTAGTGATGAGGTCATCACAAAAGAAGATATAGTTGAAAATTTCAAAGTGGCAATCACCAAGTGGGAAGAATCCTGAATGGAAGTAGAAAACATAAGAGAACTATTAAGGAACTACTCCAATATAAGGTAAAACAAGATACTACCATCTCCGGTCTTGAAGAGGAAGTTGCTTTGCTGAACACCAAGAAGGAAAATATGATAAAATATGTTGGTATGTTGAATAATGGATCTGATATGCTTGATGAGGTATTGGAAATTGATAAAAGATATAGGAACATGAAGGGAATTGGATTTGACCTAAGAACAAAACGAGTTCTAGATGTTGGACCTCATGGCTCAACATCCTGTGCGACATGTGTATCAATTTTATGGAAAGAACAGGAAATATAACAAAAGATGTCATCATTATGGAAAATATGGGCACATAAGGCCTTAATGTTTTAGGATACATGGTTACCCTAAACCTTATAGCCATCCAAGATCCAAAAGAAAGGGTAAGCAGCCACGAGTGAACAAATTATGGAAGCCTAAGAATGAAGTCAGAGCCCTCATAGCTCAAACATTTGTTGAAATGTTTTTGATGAATGACCGGTTTCTTGACAGTGGGTGCTCCAATCATATGACGTGTGAAGAGTCCTTCCTTGAAGAATTCAAAGCTTTCCCCTAGGAAATTTATCATTTGGAGATGGAATAAAAGGAAGTATCAAGGGTATTGGTAAGGTACACAAGCCAAGACTTCCTTTCCTTAAGGATGTGTTACTTGTAGAAGACTTGACTACTAGTCTAATAAGCATTAATCAACTATGTGATCAGAGGTGTATAGTGAGATTCAACAAAGGTGAATGTATCGTCACTAGCAATGATCATGAGGATTTAATCAAAGTATCAAGAAGAATAGACAATTTTTGCATATGGACACCTAAGTCAACTCCCAGTGATATTTTCAGGGAAGAGGAAAATGCTTACAAGAAGAAAGACAATGACAAGCCTAGAAAAGGAAGCATGTGTGACGCGTTGCTTGACCATCCTGTTCAAAATGTAGTCTCTAGAAAGGAAAGAAAGGGTATTGACACACGTAGTCAATTACTTTAGTGTCAATAAAGTCAGACACAAGTGAATATGATTAGACATCAAATAAAAATAGAAGTAAAAAGGATGAAGGGAACTTAGGTCATTTACGTGGATGATAAGTTATTTTTTATAATGCATGAAAAAGGAAAGTTTCTCTCTATTAAAAACATTACCTCTTCATAAATTAGGTGCAAATTTACCAGCTTCCAAGAACTATTGTGTCCCTTGCATCTACAGAAGCTCTACAATCTTATTTGTTCATCGCACCACAGTCATCTCTCTCAAATCCTTAATCATCAAAAGCTATACATAATGAGTAAGCAATTGAAGGTCAATAACATGTAAGGAATAGGATCTTCATCAAAAACTAGGGTTTTTGATCAAGAAGTACTAGAAGTCGTTCCACTCCAAATGGTTGTTCCAGTGGAATGTCCAAAGAAAAAGGTCAAATGTACTAGAGTCAAAAAGGTATAACTTCTAAAACGGTTAGTTCCTCTATATATGAGAACCTTGATCATGACCTTAAATCAGTCATGAGAGACATTGATTCATACAATGCTGAAGATGATGTTGAACCAAATGTTGGACCCTCTGATAAAACATCTGGTGAACCAAGTGGACCTCACACAAAATCTACACCTACCCTAGAGGATGTACCTATTCTTGACAACTTTATAAATGACATATTGGATAGAAATGATGTTGCCTTGGATTCATTAAGTGAGGAAGAACGTCAAATGAAGAGGATAAAGCCCCAAGAAAAGAAGTGTAAGGTAATCGATCAAGCTCATAAATAAGTAATCAATCTTGAAGGAGAAGACTGTGAGGATGATTACACTCCTCTTGTCACCATATTGTAATGGATTAAGAAGAAAAAAAAGAGTTAAAGAATTTTCTCATAAAACTAAATCTCTTACTAACAAATCTGCAAACAAGCAACAAAGAGTTAGTCCTCAAATGAATAGAATGGAGAAAGATGAAGCAGTGAATTAGAAGGCTCAAATGGAAAGGAACTCTAATAGAATATCCAGGAAGAGGAAACTTATTATGACGAATGATTCCGAGTCAAATGCTTAAGTAGATGTCTAAGACATCACGACCTTTGCAAGAAATAAGGCTGAAGGAAAGAAAATTCCTAGTAATGTTATTGTTGCTCCACTTAATAATGTGTTATTCCACTTTGAATCTAGCTCATAGATGGAAGTATGTAACTCAAAGGAGAATTGATTGTGAGAGAGAACTAGGTGAATATGCCCTAGACTACAAAGAATTGGTGAATCTAATAAAGGTTGCTGGATAATGCAACACTATTGCTGAATTTAGTCACTGCTTTGAAAAACTTGTAGGGAGTTTATAGTTAACTTATCATCTGAATGAAATAATGAAGGGAGTCAGGAGTTTAGTAATGTGTATGTAATAGGTAAGTGTCTAAGGTTCTCTCCTATAGTCATTAATGAATATATGAAGAGAAGCATATCTGCCAAAATTGAGAAAGTTTCCCTTGACAAAATAGCCAAGGAGATAACTGGCGAGGAAGTGAAACTCTGGCCTAAGCATGGACTACTACCCAGTAAAAATTTAAGTGTTAAATATACTATGTTGAATAGGATTTGTACAACTAATGGGGAACCAACTAACCATATCTCTAGCATCACCACAACCATGACTAGTATGATATATCTAATAGGAACCAAGGGCAAGCTGAACTCTGGAGAGTATGTATTTAAAGAGACCATGAATCATGTTGAGTTATTTACAATGAAGTTACATATTGCATTCCTTAGCGTATTGATAAGAATTATCATGAGACAACATCATAACATAATCCATCATCAAGAAACACCAAACAAAAGGGTTGGTTCACTGACCTTTGACATTAAATTGTTTATTGGGACACATATCCTAGACATTGAGTTATCAATGCATATAAGACATGATGTTAAGGAGAACTCTTCTTCATTGTCTAAAGTCATCCGAAAATAAATGATTGTTGAACTGGAAGAGTTGTCAAGAGGCTTTCAGGATACCATCACAAAATGTTCCATCAGGATGAAAAGGTGGATGAATTGCTCAGTAAGCTGACCAAGGAAGAGGATTATGATATAGAAAAAGATGAGGAAGACACTGGGAATGGAGAATAAGATTCAGCAGAAGAGAGCTCTGAAGAGTCAATCTTTGGATAAGAAGATACCTTCCATGGTGTCCTAGACATCTGGTAGGACGGGAGGATTTCTGGTGAGGCTGGCTTTTGGAAGACTATTTTTGTTTTGTTTTTTATTTTGTATTGTAATAATTAATTACTCTACACTTCTGCTTATCTCCTATTTCTATGCTACTAGTTTTTTCTTTTCATGATCTGGTTGTGTATGTGCTAACATATTAACCTTTCATGACTAACCTTATGTATGATATCCTTTATGCATGCCGACTTCTTTGAAGAACTAACTCTTTGCCAAATTATGGAAGAAAGGGGGTGGGTAATGGTAAGAGTGGTGTATCTGATGTATGTGCGGGTAAACCTGGTAATTGTTTAGTATTGATTGATGAGGAAGTACTAATGTTGTGCTCCATGGTGGAACATCAGGTAATACTTCTAGCCCATGTATCTGTGCAAAAAATATGAGTGTTAGTATACTTGTGTTTAGTAGATTTTGCATATCCTAATTATTAACTACTAATTGTTTGTGTTGTGCATGACTAAGTCTGTGAATGATTGCATGCTAATAATTGTTAGTTTGTAGAATTATATGCCACTAACTATGTGTTGATTGGGTACATACATGACTAAGTCTATGAATTACTACATGTTGAGTTATCGGCTTGGTTTGGATAAAATGAATAGATTATGTGTAAGCATTTGTTCTCTGAGCTACTAACTTTTGTTGTTGCTGTTATGCTTAACTCTGAAAAATGGAAGAATGCTTTTATGCTGATTGAATCCTCTGATGAATTCCAATGATCCTACTAGATATCAATTTTCTAAAGGGGAAATTGAAGTTATTTGTGAATTAGTTCCTTCGATTGACTAAATTTTGCAAAACAACAACATGGAGAAGTGTTCAAGTTGATCTAGCTTGCTTAACTTGTATGGAACTATAAAAGGGACACATGTTAGACACGATGCTTCAACATGTTGGTACGACATCTGGGCCTTGGTCAATAGGTGCCAGACTGATGCATTTTAAATGAATCTTTTGAGAAGATTTAGTTATATTTTATTGCTATTGGTTTAACAATATATGATTATATGATTTGTTGGACAGCTTGTTGAAGTTGTAAAGCGACAAGCAACAAAATTTTAGGAAATATTTATCCGGGAATTTATCGTGTCCACAGAGATTAGTGCTACTGAATTTCCGTTCGACAATTTTCTCGCGTTTATGAGTTTGGATTGAATTGTTAAAACATAAAAACATAAAAGTAAATATGAACAGGAAAAAATTCATTCTCTAGAGAGAAGAAACATATCAAGCATGCATATAATCTGCTTCTCACAAACTTAAACTTATCAACCAGTTACACTCAACCTACAATACTCCTCAGAGTCATCTAGAATCACTCACTCCCTAATTTATTTCTAACCCAAAGTATAGAGAACTACTATATCATCTCAATGACGATCTCTTAGCCAACCTCAACAACACAACAGACATTCATATTACTTGTATTTATGATCTCTCAATCGACACAACAAACACGGAAGCATTAAGCTTCGACACCCATAAAGATTGTTAGCTCTAAATCTATCTCTAGAATCCAGAAACTAAAATATTCATCCTAGATAAAGATTTGAGCAGTATATGTCTATAATAACCCAAACCCTTAGAACAGAGCAAAAATCTAAGATAACAATCGACAAAGATTTGTAAAGCAAATTAAATATAATGCCATGGGAAACAAATATACATGAGTTCAAAGTAAAATCATATACAAAACCCAAAAAAAATAGAAATACACAAAGAGGAAGAGAAATAAACCAAAAATCTCTCGGTTTGTCAGTGTCGGTTGTTAATCAATCCACCCCGGATCATCCGTATGCAAGCTCTGAAGTTGTTTTCTAAGCTCTCTCTACCAAAAATTGAAGGTTTGATGGATTGGGACCAAAAACAATTGTTGTACCACAAAATTTTCCCTTTCATTTTCTCAAAACATTTCTCACAAGATCTTCAATGGCTCAAGTTTGCAACACTGATACATCAAATTAGGGTTTGAGTTTGCACAAGGACAATTGGATTTTTAATGCCTCAAATGACTTTCATAGATCATTATGGACCTTCAAGATTGCTCATGTCAAGTTTCAAGCCTTGGATCACAAAATTGTTCAGTTAATTGATCAGATGACCTAAAAACAGCAGTACTGATGAAAAAGTCAATTATACCCTGAAAAGTCAAACTTTGACTTTTTGGTCAACATTACATTCCAAAGATAAAAACTCTTCAAGACATTCAAGAATATCAAGCTTGATTATCAATAAGTCAAGAAAGTCAAAAGTCAACTTGAAAAGTCAAGATTTCCAAGACATAGAATTTTTGTGTTTTTACACATGATAATTTCATCACTTCATGCCAATTTTTCACCAAGATACAAGATGATTAAAGGAAAATTTTCAACATGAAAGTTGTAGATCCTGATGAGATCTACAACTTTGCTTTGCTGATTAAATCCTAGAAGTGCTTGGATTTTGAGTTATAAATTCATGAGGTCATGACATTTTCATTTAACACTTAGACAACTTTTCAACAGATTTTGGTCAGGATTTTATCCCAACTTATTGGCATTTTTTCACATAGTTACAAGATGATTTTGTCAAAATGGACAACATGAAATTTATAGAGGGTGTTTCAAGCTTTCCAAAACATCCAAGAGAATGGATTTATAATACTTGATCTAGGAGATTCAAGGGCATGATGTTGGGCATCCATCCTTGAATTGCAAGTCATTCTATTGAAGAACACATAATAAAACTCTTATGATATGCTGCATAATCCTATGTTGTAGACCTTCTTGCTTGAAAATATCTACATAATTTAATGTTTACACAAAATCTTGAGCTATTACCCAAGTGTTTGAGCCATTGTCCAAAAGATCTTTCCATTTATGGCATAAAGGCATCATTGTTATTCTTGAAAAGCAGGCCTTTTGGTACAAAGTTTATCTTAAGCCCGTACCTTGCTTGTTGTTGATTATACTCCATCATAAATCATAGGAAGTAGCTCCTCTATATCAGCAACTTTGGTACTTCATCTTGGGACTATGGAGTACTTGACATAGTTTGATCTTTGTAATCCAACCAAACCATAACATGCTGTCTTGCAAACCTAATCATCTCATATGCACAAACCTCTTTCCTATAAATAGAAGAAGCATTTGCAAGAGAAAGAGTTCAGAAAAATAGAGAGAAAAGTAATAAGTTCTCTTGTGTAGAAGCCCTCAAAAATCCCTGCACTCTCAAAAAAACAGAATTGTCCATAAATCCCCATTGTTGAGCTTTGAAGTCCAAATCCTTGAACCTCTCACTCCTTGCAAGTTTCGTCCAAATAAACCATCTAAACACTCCACATACATCATATAGAAGTTGTTCAAACACAAGAACAACTTCTGTAACATCACTATCATCACTTCCCAAGCTCAAACAACAGCCCAACAATAGCTCAAACTCAAAGCATAAATTTCAGTTTCAAGGTAAGTTTTCTTGACTTTGAACTCTTCATACAAGCATCATTAATGGTTCATTTGTGAAGATAAAATGTAGATATCATTGCCTTGAAGCTAACCATATGCTTGCTTTTCATTTTCACTAACCATGTGTTGAGAACTAAATTTTACATGTAGCAAAACAGTGATAAAAGCAAAAAACAGCAGTTATGAGTCGACACGAAATGTTATGAGTCGACACATATTATGTTCAAAACAGGTTATGAGTCGATACGAAACACGTATGCATCGACACGAAATGGTTATGAGTCGACACGAAACCAGTATGTGTCGACTCATACTGAGTTGTTTTGACTTCCAGGATCAAGAAACATACATGAGCCAATACATGAGCCGACACATGAGCCAATACGAAACATGCATGAGCCAATACATAAGCTCATGTGTCAGCTCATAAAACATTTTTATATATTTTTTAATTTTTTATTTATATTTTTATTATTATTATTTTCATATAAGAATTCAAAAAAATATTTTATTTAAATATGTATGCATGCACTTTTGTTTTATTCCTTTTTTCTAAACTAAAAAAGACAAAAGCATTTTCTTATTAAAATCAATTTCTTTTCTTAAAATTAATTTAATATTTAGACTTAGGTTTTATTTTAATTTGCTTATTTTTGATTAAATTAATTTAGACATTAGGATTTTAATTAATTTCTTTTCAAATCAATTAGAACTTTTTTCATAAAAATATATAAAAATAATTTCTCTTCTCTTTATATTTATTTGTACATTTTATTATTTTGCACTATAATTATGTAATTTTCAAAGCCTTGTAATAGTAAATTAGGTTTATTTGCTTTTATCTCCCCGTTTGTAAATTTGTACCCCCATCCCTAAGTGATGTAATAGCGTAGGACTTTATATTTCCGCAATTTATCGCTTTCAAATGTAAATGCTAGTAATTAGGGTTTGTATGGCAAGACATAAAATCAACAAGTAGAAAACCCTAATTCAAGACAAAAATGCATGAAAACAAAACACTTTGCACACTTGCACCTATAGGGTAACCCACACTTGTTGCCTCGGATAAAACTAGTATGTCCCTCGAACGTGGGATACTTTAGCAATGACCCTAGATACAAGATCGTAGTCCCTAGATGGCCCTTCAATGTTTCCTTCGTAAACGATCTTAGTCCCTTACAACAAATTGCTAAGGTATCCTACAATGTTTCCTTCTATGACTATAAAATAACCCACGCCCGTCCCTTTACATCCAAAGATAGAGCTTCTTACCAATCAATGGTAAGATAGCAATGTCAAAGGAAGAGAGAAATGAATGAAAGACTGTGGAGTAGGTAGAAACATTCTTAGTTGCTTGCTCACAATCCATCTTCAAAAACAAAGATCTTTTCAAATACACCAAACACTTTCAAAACATGAAATATTTTCAAAAGTCTAACACTTTGTATACATTCTTAT